ACTTCGTCAACGACATGTTTTCGTTTGTGTGTGTGTGTGTGTGTGTGTGTGTGTGTTAAAATCCACCAAAGGAAGGGAGAAGAGAGTTAAGATGGGCTCTCAATGGAGTCACCCCCCGCAGAGAAAAGCTTTGGGTACAACCGTCTCGTTACACTGCAAACCATTCCCAACCCATCTTGTTGGTGTGATTCGGAAGTGAGCTGTGCGTGCCTTTCATCTCACACATGCCCATCATGTACATCCAATTCATTTCTATTAACTTTTTCGTCTCTTTTTTTTTCGTGTTGTTTCCTCCCTTGGCTGAATTGTGTGTGGGTGTGTATGTTTTTTTTCTTGGTTCGTATCCCTGCATTCACGCTCAAGCAAGCAAGCATGCATGCGGAAATAAAGGCATTTATGTACATCCTGCTTCAGACAAGCAAGGCGGGTGGAGTCGCGTCCGCGTGGAGGCCGCGCTAGAAGTTCAGCGACACCACACACGCCACGCCGCGCTTCACCCAGTGCTCCGGCTCGACGTTGGTGGGAATGCAGATGGGGAGAATAAAGTTCGTGGAGTGCCCGGTGGTGCTCAGTGTGCCGGCGCGGGCCAGGGTCTTGTACACCGGGCACACGTAATCCTTCGGGTCGTTGACGTGGTCGACCCGCGGCTCCAGGTGGATGAGCGGCATCTCCACGTACAGCTCCTTCGGCCGCGACTCGGCGAGGGTGCGCCCCTCCGCGTCCCACCGCGCGCCCTCCATGTACAGCCCGTACACGACGGCCCCCTCCGCCCGCGCCTCTACCTGGGCGGGGTCCCTCTCCTCCATCAGCTCAAAGGCGAAGGAAACGGAGTCGATGGCGACGCGGGTGCGACGGGCGTAGTTCTGCAGTGTGCCGGTGAGAAAGGCCTGGGGGAAGAAGAAGCCGCCCATCCAGAGGGCCTTTGGCACGCCACCATCGTACCAAGACTGAATGAACTGCACCCGCTGCACCAAATCGTCAACCCAGCTCGAGAGCGGCTTCATAGACGGATACGCCAAGGCGACCCATGACGCGGGGACGGCGTTGATGAAGAAGCTTGACCCGACTTCCTCAAGCTCCGCCGACATGACAACTTCACCCCGCACCGCCTTGGAGAACTCCGCGAGACTGGTGCGGATAAAACGAAGCAGACGGTTGTACCGTACAGCCTCCTGAACAAGAACCGTGTTCATGGACTCCTCGTAGCGTGTGGGATACCTTGCACAAAACTCCTGCACGTTAAACGTCTGCGGCAGCTTCTCCTGAATGCTCTTCGCCGTCTGTGTTAGCATCTCCTCGCGACTCGTGTGCGACGACCCCGACTCCTCACGCGAGACGAGAGACAAGATGGTGGCGAGGATGTTGGCACTCTCGCTTTGTGCACATGTGATGTCGGCATTGTCGTGCAAGCCAAAGACCTCCGGGTCTGGGTTCAGCGGCCAGGAACGGAGAAGCCCCAGGTAGTAGTGTCGGTCGAACGGCTCAACGGTGCGGTACAACCCGGAGGGCGAGAAGGAGTAGCCATCGTTCAGCACACCGGGGTTGATAAAGGTTTTTACGAGGGCCAGCATGCAGCGCCTGTCCCAGTCATCCGTCACGCGTCCACCGTAGTTAATCTCGCAAGTGAGGAAGGTTAACACGTCAAAGGGGACCTCGTCGTAGAGAGACATGAACTTGCGGAGCTGCATGAGGCATACGTTACGGTCGGAATCGTTGAATTCGTAGGAAATATTAAATCCCAAGGAGCCAAACTTACGCCGCTCCTGAATCACGCCATGGAAGAGGCAGAGTGCAAAAACCATCTTCTTAAACTCGTTTGGTTTGCTCGGGTGATCCAAATCCTCGTCGGTGAGTCCGTAGTACGAGCGTGTCATATTTGCACGCAGCCCCATGGGCGGTTCATTGGTCATCTTCACGGAGATTTGCAGGACGGCAACGGGGAACGCCCCCGATGGCATCGAGGTCAGCCAGAGACGGAACTCCTTTCGCACGGTTTCCGTGGTAAAGGTTTCCACAATGGCCTCTAAGGTTGGCATCCATGAGGTTGCCAAGTGACAGTTTTGCAGCAGCACCCACTGACCTCGCTCGCGGCCGTTGTTTAGCAGCTCCTCCGCCTTGCGACCTTGTCCCTGGCCGAGTGAAACCTTGTCCATCTTCTTCGACATCCGCATTTGCTCCGCAAAACGCAGAAGATCATTCATGGGGTCCGAACCGGGCGAAATGATGAAAATGAGCGGCGTCAGGCAGGTGCTGTCCTTGTACGCATCCATGAGATCAAACTGAGGGACAAGAATAAACCGCTCCCCCATGTAGAACTTCACGAATTCCTGAATGGCCGGTGCAAGCTTATCCTTCCGGAAGCAGCGCGTAATGATTAGACGCCTCAGCCTCGTCTCCCGCTCCTCCCACTCACCCACGAGTGGGTATGTGTGTGCCGAGGAACTGTCAAACAGTCTCTTGTAGTGTCCACAATTTTCAGCCACGTGTTGGGCAAACCCGGCAAAGCCAGGGAGGTTGGCGCTGACAAACTGAATCTCGTTCCAGCAGTTGTCGGTGAGCCACTCCGGGGCAGGGTTCGCCGCGGCGCCGCCGCGGCCTGTGGGTCCCTTCAGCAAGTAAAGGTACTCGTCGCCGTCAAGATTGCCCTCCTGCTGCAGAATAGAGGTGCATAGGAAAAAGGAGAACGTCAACTTGTGACGTTCAAACAAGGAACGACAGACATTCGTGTAGAAGGAGTACATGAAGTAGTCCGTTAGGTTCTTCACACGTGTCTCGATCTCCTCGGCCGGCTCCGTTTTGTCCACTGCTAACAGCACCAGGTTAATGAACCACTGGAGGGAAAATTGATACATGGGGTCCACCATGGCAAGCTCAGAGACGCAGAAAAAGAGCAATGCTCCACGGTAGGCGTGGGGACGATACTTATTTCGAGTTTCATCGATCGTCGTCTCCGTCTCCCGCGCCCGTCGGAGGTCATCTTTAATTTCCGTGGACTTCAGCTTACTCTTCTCCAACGCAATGATGAGTTCCTCTTGGTCGAGGATGTCACCCTCCGCCTCTTCCAGCATACGCAATATGTTTTCCTGCATCTCCTTCAGCTCCCGGCTCTTCTCTGCGCAGTCCCGAGTGAGCTTCTGCTTCTCCTGCTCCAAATCATTGCGCTCCTTCTCCACCGTTTTACCCAGCAGCTGATCCTCCAACCCGCTGCGGGTAATAAAGAAGTTCAATAAGGACACCGTCACAATGGTCTCTGGGGTGTAGGAGGGGTTTGGAAGCTTCGTCGTCATGTAGAAGCGAAAGTTTCTATCATACGGGATGGCGGAGTCCCCGACACGGATGTGGGGTGTGCTGCCAATGAGGAACACGTTACGCAGCAGCACCGGCTCCAGCGCCGGATCGAGGGATTCTCCAACGTTTTCCAATAGACACGGGAGACCAAGCCGAATAGCACCCTCCACGACTTTCATGAACTTATCCTCCGAGGCCTTGCAAACCTGCAAGTTGTCGTTCCTGTGCCAATTTCGAATCCACTCATTCGCTTGCCCCTGTGGATCAATCAACAACGGCCACGTCCGCGCATTTGTGAGGATGATGGCATTCTCCGTGGAAAGTGGATCCTTTGGCAAGCCACACAACTGCCACTCCTGTATCCGCACCGGATCCCCAGTGGTGGAGACGAGGTCCACGTGTTCGCTGGACTTGATGCCGACCCCGGCGAGGATGCCGGCCCATGTGTCAATGAGATGCCGGCGGTAGGGGCCGGTGAGGGGGCCGCAGTACGCAATCGAGGCGGCTGCTATCAACATGTCTCCCGAAATACACTCCTGCTGGGCCTTGTACTGCTCCACGAGCTCCATCCACCGCACCTTCTCACCGCCAAGGCCGTCAATGAGTCGGGCGGCACGATGCAGCTTCTGACTCGTCTGCTCTACCTCATTTTCAAGCTGTGTCTGCGTTTCTACCGCCTCCGTGAACTCTCGCTCTAGCGTAGCCACGGCCTCAATAACTGCATCAAGCTTCATGCGTGTGTCGGCAAGGGCTTCATTGACACGTCGCAGTTCACTTTCCGCCTCCGCAAGCCTCTCACGCAGGGGTTGAATCTCACGGTTCACAAAGAACCATTTGTACATTGCACGCACCCACTGACACATCGCCATACATGGCACGGAGACCGTCTTCACCTTCTCCGGCAGGAACTCTTCGTTATCGTAATACGCCCTCACCTTCTCAATGAGCGTCATATCCATCGCCTCGCGGTCAAAGCCACCCTTCTCGGGGGGCTGCACCAGGGTGTCCAAGAGCTGATTCGCATTCCTCATGTACGACTTGGCGCACATCCACCAATCTGGAGTTTTCTTGGCTCCGGGCGGCCCCGTGTAGAACTCTCGTGGGCAGTTCCCAAAGGTGAGGAGGAGTGCCACGGCCTCCATCACGTACTGCACACCCTTGGGCGGGTTCTGGTACTTGTTCAACTCGGAAATCTCAGCCGCCTTAATCTTCGAGAGCACCTTCACGGCCTCCTGTAAGGCAGGCTCGGCCTCTGCCAATCGATCCGCGCACTCCCGGCGCATCTTGGAACACTCCTCTGCCTTGGTCGTTGCAATAGCCTCTTCCTGCCGCGCCGATATTTCCTTTTCCGCGGCGTCCCTACGATCCACACGGAGCCGCTCCATAATCTCCTGAATTTCCGTCTTTTTCCTCTCCAGGACAGGCTGCTGCGCCTTCAGCTGGCTCTCCAGCTCCACGACACGCTGCTCTGTATCGTACAACTTCTCCAGTCCGTTCTCCAGGCGATTGCACTGCTCGAACACAAACCGCCGCTTATTCTCCACAAGAACCGTGTAGTTGTTGAGCAGGGAAAGGTAGGACGTCGGTGTCACGTAGGAGCGACGGTGCGTCTCGACATAGAAGCGCTCCGTCGTCTCCGACGCGGACAAGTGCATTGATTTAAAGCATTCGGCGAGTCTTTTCATCTCCTCGTTCTGAATCTCCAGGTTGGCGACGGAAAGCTGCGCGTTGGCCACGGAGAGAAGTGCCTCGCCAGGCCACTCCGCAAACCAGTCAATCGTGCAGCAGGTAATCAATGAGGGAAACATGCGTATTCGGCTGCGAAACACCTCACCAATGGGTGAAAAGGCCAACACAATATGAAGGTTCGCACGAACCTCCTTAATAAACCTTGCATACACCGACACCTTTGTCGTTGGCAGATTCTCGCTCATGCAGACGCCCTTAAATTTGTTGTTGATGAGCTCAATGTCCTGGTCCTCAAACAGGTTGGGCACGTCGCCCGAGGTAAGAAGCCCGGCGACGTCCTCCATCAGCGTGGGGTGAACCAGTTGGGTGTCTGAGAAGAGGAAGGTGCGCCTCTTCTCGTCCTTTCCGCAGTCTAGCAACAGCGTCGCCAGCGACTCGTGCCACTCCTTTACACCAAAGTTCTTTGTAAACTCAATCGTGAAGACATCCATGTCGGGAATGAGAAAGCACGCAAGCCGGGTCAGGGACTTGCGGCCGGAGCCACCAATGCCTAGTAGCAGGCAATGACCGTTGGGCAGACCCAGCACGCGGGCGATGCGGCAAACGTGCTCGATGGCGTCAAGAAAGAGCACAAGGTCCATCACAGTCTCATTGGCGTCGTTGTAGGCGTTCAGCTGCTCGTCGAAGAAGGTCGCGAGGGCAGTCATATCACTGATTTGCGTGTAACTCCGATCTCGGTCCGACATAAAGTCCCCAAAGATGAGTCTACCTTCGGGCACCAGCGCGTGGTAGCCGCCGTCGTAGCCCAACTTTGCGAGTTCCCCATTGAGGAAGGAAATAAACTGCTTGCGGTCCTCCGCGCAGATGAGCCGGTCGTAAAACACCCGCTGCATCTCGTGCATCCACTGCTTCACCATCACCTCCTCGTCTGGCAGACCCTTCGCGTCACTGGCAAAAATCATGGGGAACACCCGCATCACATCACGCATATTGAAGGAGTAATGCACATGGGAGGGTGTCGGCACGAAGGCTTTGCGGCAGTTCGCAAAGACACTTAATGTGCTCTCCACAAGTTTGGAAGAAAGCTCAATGAGCTCCTCCTTCACCCCACGCTGATGCAGACCCCCTGTGAGAATGGTGTTCAAAATGGTCCGCTTTGACACCTCCGACATCTCGGGGAACGAGACGTAGTTGAGGTAGCGCATGAGGCGATTTGAGACCTGCGTGCGGCTGCCCCCCGGCGGCCCCATCGCCATGACAAAGGATGTGTCAATGATGGCGTTCCACCGGATGCCACCGGTGAAACCGTAGAGACCACCATGACCCAACAGCTGGCGCAGCAGCTCTAGCGGTGGCTGGGCGCCGTAACGTTCCTTTTGCGGCAAATTCGCGTCATCAATGAAAATGAGAAAGTGTTTACCGATGGGGGCACCAAACACGTGGGAGCGGCGCTTGTCAAACTTGGACATGAGGGAGTTTTGCAGCACGCCAGCCTTTGTCTGCGGTGAGAAGGTAAAGGTTAGGCCAAGGAAGCGGTCGGGTAGCCCGCCAAGCACAAGATCACTCACAGCGACCGTCTTTCCTGTGCCTGTCGGACCCACAGCCACGACGTTCGCCTTTTGCATCAGCAGGTGCCGCAGCACGTACTTCTGGCGTGTGTTGTCTATTGTGGGCACCATAACATCTTCGTACTTTGTCGTTCGTCCAATGTCGCAGCTCTCACGGAGCTCATTCCAGTGCACCCAGCGCGGCTCCTTCTCGTCCTCAGGTGAGGCGGAGTAGACGAAGCAGTAGTCGTATATAATTCCTTCCGCCGGTAACGAGTCGGCGTGGTTGTTGCGCCGCGCCACGGTGCGCAGCATGTCGCTAAACTGCTCACGGCCGCTCTCGTCACACGTTGCCCCAATGCTCAAGACAACAGACATGAAAAACAACGGGGTGACGCATTTTGCAAGAATTTCCTCACGTTCCGGGCTCAGTGGCGGTTGCCCAGGCGGCGGCTTAGGCACGGAAAAGGACTGGACGTAGCCATCCATGACGCGGAAGAGAGAGTGCACGAGACAAACGTTTGTCGAAGGCACGTACTCCTTCAGGTGGGCCCGCACAAACTCAACAAGCTCATCCATGTACATGTTGGCAAGGTTGGCAAGGTGGTCTTTCTGAGAGGCCAAAAAGGCCGGAAGAGACTCCTTCCACGTCTCCGCAACGGCCTGCGTCGGAACACACGCCGCTGGGTCCATGTAAATCATACCACAACGCGAGACGGTGGCGGGGGAGGCGACGGCGAGGTCCTCCACCTCAAACATCATCGTCATGTCTCGGCTCATCTGAATAATCTCACCAGAGACAAGACAGAGTTTTTTGTTGTCATCCAACACCGTGTTCATGGACTCGATCCAGAGAGCATCCACCGGGCCATCAAACAACACCCAGTGCTTACCAAGCTGCGTCCCCTCATCACCGTACTTTGCGGCACGACGAAAGAGGACGCACAGCACGCCGTCCTTCCACTCCCCATTCTCATCATAGGCGCCGTACAGCTGATCCATCGTGACAGCCTTCGGGTTGCAGATGTGGGTGTAGACCTTCATGTACTCCCTTGACCCGACGTCTTTTCCCTTGCTCTGCAAGATGGCGCACTCCGACAGGGCCTTTTGCAAGGCGGTGTACGCCATCGTCTTTCCACTTCCAGCGGGGCCCACCAGCATCAGGCCATGGCGCAGCGTCGTAATGTCGTAAAGCTGCAAACACTTATCAATAAAGGCAGGCACCGGTTGAAGCTTATCGGCTGTGACAACCTGTCGAAGGAGGTCCACAACGACGCCGTAGTCCGTCGAGGGAAGCTTTGTTCCGGGAAATAGGTCACTGATAATTCCCTCAAAAAGCGCAATGTCGTCTACAAGAAACTTGGGCACATTGGAGTCGCGCAGGGCGCGAAGCAGCAACAAATCCTCCTCTTCGTTTGGGCTCTCCCGCTTGTTTATTCCCGCTGCAGAAATGACTGTATTCACCGCACGCATACCAAAGTCATAGTGGTCCTGCGAGGAAAGTTGTTCCGAGCTTAGCTTAAATGTCATCACCATCTTTTGTGCGAGGCTGCGGGCCTTTTTGTAGCCGTACGAGAATAGACGAATCTCACCAATGAGGGCGTAGTCTGGCACCATGCACGCCACCGGGCGGAAGAGAACCTTCAAGTTGTCCGGCAACTCCGTACGTCCGGCGTAGCCGGGGTTCATTGTGATGAAGACGGCATGCGTGGGGTCCACAACCACCTCGCTTTCCTCAAAGATAATACGGTACTGCTTCGTCAAACAGGCCTGTTGAAGATCTGTCACCTGCTGCGCCACGACAGAGAGCACCTCCACATCAATACGGTTAAACTCATCAAAGCAGGCCCACGCACCAGCCCAGGCAAGACCCTTGAAGAACTTTGCCATGGAGTTGCACGTCATACCCTCCTGACAATTGAACACGACGCACTGCTTTGCGAACGCCTTGGCCAAGTCTTTTGTTGTCTCAGTCTTGCCGGTACCAGCTGGCCCCGCAGGAGCCCCACCGAGGCAGAGCGCCAACGCCCCCGTGAGAGTTAAGTAAATGCGATCGGTGAGCGGCGTTACGACAAGGCGACCGGTGTTGCCGAGGTACTCGCCGCCGTACACAAAATGGGCGTCCACCTGCTTAATGTGGCACAACTCATCCTCGGGGTCAAAGTAGAACCGCAGTTGCTTGATCCAATCGAAGGACTGCACTGAGCTGACCTCGTTGCGCTTCATCAACTCCACGGTGTCCTTCGCGTGTACCTCCACGGTGATGAGGGCCCCCATGTTGATTCGCTCGCGTGGTTTCAGCGGTGACTGCACAATGTCCACGAGTTCATACAATTGGGCGTCAAGCGTGTCAAAAAACTTCGCAACGCTTCCCTGCTGAGTCAAGCCAGTCTCGCAGCCGTTCGTCCAGAATATCTGCGCCACAGCAATGACACACTGCGCGGGCCAACGCAACACCCATCGTCGTCGCGGGGTACAGGTGTAGTCGCGGAAGGTCTGCCGCAGCTGGTCATGCACCGCGCTCTTCATCATGCTCTCCACCGACTGCAACCACACCTCCACATTTCCCTCCGGTATGACAGGCTGCACGCTTGGCAAGTGCTCCCCCTCCGCGCTAAAAAATCCAGTGATTGCATTCTCCTTCCACGCCAGACGGTTGATAAACTCAAACAGCTTGCTGATGTGAGCATCAATGCGCTTCACCTCCTTCGACTGCGAGAGAATCTCCAGCAGCTCCTCATCGGACAAGAAGTAGAACCTTGGGAAGGTCTGCCGTTTCTCCGCCAGGTAGTCGTTGAGACCGTGCTGAACCTCCTCCAGGATGCGGTTCGACTCCCGCAGACTTTCAAGAAGTTTGCCCGTCCCGATACAAAAATCTAACACGTTCGGCTGGTGATTGACAGTTCCCATAATCCGGCGCCACGTCTTATCCACGCGCTCAAAGAGTCTGGATAGGCGTGGTAGCTGCAGGGCAATATCCTCGGAGCTGAAGATGGGCTCCAGGTAGCGCCAGGCACGCTGGCACTCCAGCCATTGCTCGATAATGTCGGAAATGAGGTTTAGCGACCGCTCCCAGTCCGTGATTGCCTCCTCGTAGAAGGCCTTGAATGGGGAAAACTGCAGCTGCTGCGTCAGGTTTAGGTGCTCGTCGAGCAACTCCACAACCTCAGAGGCATCCTTGACGATAAACGTCCCAGTCGCTTTGTAGGGCTCAATAACAAACGTTCGGGTCTCCCACTTGGCACGCATGTCCTTGAGGCACTTCTCAATCTGCGCCTCCTTTCCGGCAACCTCGCAGTGAGCCACAATGAGCTCCTTGTGTTCCAGCAGTGGTTCAATGTCGTCCAGCAGCAGAATGGTCTCACCCGGCACTAGATTCATATTCAGCTTCTCCGAGAGGCCTTTCCAGTGTCTCTCCTTCATGCCGTGCTGACGCAAGGAGGTTACCACAGGCACCCACGGCTTAAACTCCTCCACCCTGGCGCGTATCTCCTCCACAATCTTTAGTGTGGCATTTTTGTCCTTAAAAGTTTTGGCCAGCTGCGTCATCGTCTTGTAGGCACTCGCCACCACGGTCTCAATCTCGTCGGGGTCAAGGGAGTCAAACGGGTCCGCGTGCCAACGACGATAGCAGTCTTGCCACTGGTACGTCGTCAACCACAGGTCGCTGTATGGCTTGAATTCCTTTTCCAGGTCAAAAACGTTGCGGTAGTCGGTCAGTTTATCACCAAAGAGTCGTTGATCGCTGTTGATGGAGCGCGCCTCCTCAATGCACTTGCGGATCTCAATGCTGTTCATCTTCACCTCGGCGGCCACCTTCTCTGCCTCGGAGGCGTCGGTGTGCTTTGAGAAGGTCGCCACAACACGCTGCAGGGCGTCAACCTTTTTGCTGAATTCCTCACCCTCCTTCTGCAGCCGTGCATGCAGCTCCTCCTGCACCTTCTCGAGCTGCTTGTTGGTGTCCTGGATACGAAGCGCCAGCTGCCGCGGCCACGCGATGGCCTCCCACTTTTGACGTGATTCATCATCGCTCAACTCGTACTGGAAGCCATCGAGAATGTTGTAGAACTGTCGCATTTCCTCAATCTCGACGGACAACTCGGTGACGCGCTCTGGCGTGTTCGCAATAAAATTCTTTAGCTCGTACAGCTTCTCTGGGTTTTGCGGCTGCTTCTCCACCGTGCGCACAATTTTTGTAAACTCATCACGAATGTACGTCGTCTTACCCTTGGCCATTTTGCAGATGAGGTCCATAACAAGCTTGGCGAGGTCCTGCTCCTTGTTTGCCATGATTTGCCCAAAGGACTGGCAATCAACAACGTAGTTGCCAACGGTGATGTACGCCGGCAGCTTCTGCGCCACGATCTTCTTTGCCTTGAGGTGCTGCCGTATTTCGTCCTTCATATCCTCCATCGTATGCTCCTGCTGCTCGTAGGTGGTGATGAACTCCTTCTTGTCGAGTCTTATCAGCGGAAGAAGTTCATCGTACGTCTGCAAGTAGTCTCGTAAGGGCTCCAGGGACTTTTGCACCGCCGCGCGTACGCGCTGCCGCAGCAGCACAACATGCTCCTCCTCCTGCTTCACGGAGTCGAGGAAGGGCCCTTCCCCTTCCCGCCGCCAAAAATATTGCGACATGACAAACTTCTCCACCTGTGGAGTGGCGTCGGTGCAGTAGATCGCGTCATTGAAGAGTCGAATAATGGTCTCCTCAAAGTCCTCAAAGGAGATGGAGTAGGTGAAGCTTCCATCCCGCTCCGCGAGGCCAATGGTGAACAGTGGCTGCTTCTCAACGCAATCGTCGGCGTCGCTGCCAGGCCAGTTGTTCTTCACATGGTTCATGTCAATGACATTCACCGTAAACTCCGACACCTCCTCAAAGAAGACGGTAAAGTCCTGCAGGGAGGTGTAGACAAGGGCGAATAAGGTGTCCTCCATCATGAACTTGACGGTCGTAAAGAACTTTTTGAGCTTAGACATCTCGTAGATGTCTTGCTTCGATTCCTGGATATTCAACCACCCCTTGCCGGCGGAAGCGAAACTTTTTCGGATCACGTCACATATGTTTTCCGTCCACTCCCCCTTGAGGTACTTTGCCATGGAGGCCATGTGTTCCTGCTGCAGCTGCTTAAACGCGGCAAGCTGCATCTGGCGCGCCTTTGGGAGACGAAAGAGGCTGCCCTCGAGAACTTTTATACATTCACTCCGCACCCCGGTCAGCGCGGTCACAACCTCCGGCTGTGTGTAGTACGTCGAAAACGTAAAGGAGCGCTCACGCTCCTCAAAGTCAAAGTTGCCTATCGGAATCACAGTGTCGCATTCGCCCTTTTCGCTTCGCTGGATCGCCACATTCGGACCACGCACCAACTCCTGTAGACTCATCTGCGTGGCGTTGGCCACCATCCGCTGCAGGACCTCGTCACGCTGCATACGATCCTGCAGGAGAATGCGGTTGTGACTCCGCTTCCACGCGAGCGTGAACTCCGCGATGAGACGCTCCACCCGGTCCTCGACGTCGGGGAAGACCGTCTTGCTTAGGTGCGGCATGCCGGTGCCAAGCTGCCGCAGCCGCCCCCCAAGTCCGCTGTCAAGCCCACTTAATCCATCTAACGGCATGGCGTCACAGCAGAGGCGGTACCGAATCCATGCCATCGCCTTTGCCCGCTGCTGCTGGGCGCTAAGAAGACGCTGGACGTAGACAATGGGATCCTCCGCAAGCAGACGGACAAAGAAACGCGGCACCACGACTGGCGTCTCACCTGCGACTGGGGTAGAGCCCCACAGAACCGTCAGTTCGTTTCTCTCTGCATCCCAGGCAATGACGCGGCACGGCCGCATGCGGAAATCGCCATTTCCGCACTCGCTGATGCCTTCTGCGGGCAAGTAGCGACCATTTTCATTTTCATTTTGTCTTGCTATCTCCATCCACTCTGACGGATTGCGACAGTCGTAGGAGGTGTCGTCAAAAACCTCCAGTGGCAGCTCCTGACTGTCCTTCTTTGCGAGCTGCTGCAGCGTCAAACCAGCCACCTCTACAAGATGCTGTACATCGTGGAATTCATACTGTCGACGCCGCCGCTCTATTTCAATCCTGCGTGGAATACGGCCACGCTGGTACGTAAAGGGAACCTGCACCTTCGGTTCAAAGGCCGCCTGCTGCGCGTCGGGGAAGAGAATCGCCGTCTCCTTGTACGTCGCACTTGTGCCAATAAGCGGGCGGGGGGAGCCGGGAACCCACCCCTCCGTCGCGAACGGGCTAACACGCCCCTCCGCCGCGGCGACCTTCTGAGAGACTACCTTCTTTGAGCGCGACGGCGACGGCGGCCGCGACCTGGATCCACCCTGCGCATTCGCCGCGGGAGGCTTTGGGTCTGGGCGTAGGTGGTGTTGAAGCATCAGCGATGCCCTCCCCCTCTGCGTGCGAAGAAACAAAAAGACCCGATCTTCCCGGACGAAAAAAATGGGTGGGAAAGTTTCCAAGAAGAGATTTGGGGGGAGGGAGGAAGGGAAATAACACGCACACACACACACACACACACGGCCAGGCAGGCAGAGAAAGTGCAAGAGGAGGCAGAGGTAAGGAGGGCCACAGCGAGGTCACCCCGCGGAACGAACGGGGGGAAAAAAAGACAAAAACAAATTTAGGATAATAAATACTAGCGGCGAATTTCGTAGCGGCAGAAATGGAAACAAACAGACAGATAACAAACGACAGCAAACATCATTTCCTTTTTCCCCTCTTTTTTTTTACGGTTGATTGCTTGCCCGTGTGTGTGCCCTCCCTCCACATATCCGGCTCCCCTCTCACCTGTGGTGTCATAGTTAGCCTCAGCCCAGGCAATTCAATTAATTACCGCTGCGCGTGGGTGTGGGGGCGGGTGCGCATCACGCGTCCCAGTTCTCTCCTCAAACTCTCGCACTAGGCGCCAGTGAGCGCCATAATGGCTGTGGCCTCCGCAGACAACTCCCTGTTGTTGTCCCCTTCGCGTGCAATGGCCTTCAGCGCCGCTGTGAGCCACTCTGAGAGCCACTGCACGTCCCGCTTGCGGCTGTGCTCACAGGAGTATCGCAGCGCACGAAGCACAAACAACACGACGGTGGGGTTGCCACGCGGGTCGGAGATCATTTCCCGCACGCGGGTCACACTCTCCGTCGATAGGAGGTCGTGCTGGGCCGCCGGTGTCAGATGAACGAAGTGGCACACACATGCAGCGGCATTTTCCGCAGCTGAGGGCACCGGCGAGGCGCAAAGTGGCAACCACAAGGTCTCCATTGCTTGCTGCGGGAGGAGGAGGAGGCACTGCTGTGCAAAACGGGTGTTTGTGTGGTTCATGGCATGCTTTAGCAGAAAGGCGGAGAGCTCGCAGCATGGCTCCAGGAGGTAGTCGAGATCCTTCGTCACCGCCATCGTTAGCGTCTTCAAAAGGACAGCCGTGAAGAACTCCTGTGTCGCCAAACAATCCATGATCTCCGCCGTCTTCTCTGCCTGCACCGCCAGCAACAGGAGCAGCTGCAGTGGCACGGAAAGATCGCTTTGCTTGGATCGCAGCATATAACGCACCAGGTCTTCTACTAATTCCACTGTGGCAATGCTGGCAAACGCCTTCGACCGCCGCTCGCCACATGTTGCAACCAGACGCAGGGCGAGAATGGGAATAGGTTCGTTTTCCTTCAGCAACGCCGGAAGCGAGGAAGCGACGGTCCGCAACAACTGGTCCAACTTCTCCGCCTCCACAATTTGCTCCTCGCGCACCAGACCCGATGAGTCAACAAGGGGGGCAACAAGCGCACTTAGCGTATGCAGCGCCGAGAAGCGACGCTCCACGTCAGGGCCGCCCAGCATACGCACGTAGAGCGGAAAAAGCTCATTCACCACAGCACGACGATGCATCAGGATACGCTCACTGCTCTGTGTGAGGAGGCCTACTACTTTGTTCAATTCCTCTTCATAGGCGGCATAGCGTGGTGACGACATTGCCTTTTCCAGGCATGCACCCAGGCTTGCAAAGACACTCTCACGCAACTCCACCATCATGCCAAGATTTCGGGCAGTCAAGACGTTGCATGCCGCATTCAAAGTGGCGACGGCGGCAGCAGGCGAGGCCCCCTCCGCCATGGCCGCCAAGTTTGCCTCTAAAAATGCCCCCAAGTAACGCGTCAGGCCTGCCGCACACCGCTGCACATAGGAATCCTTGTCCCGCACAACGCCGTCAATGCAGCCGATAAGTTTACTGGAAGAGAGTCTCAGCAACAGTTTCTCATTCATGCACCCGAGCAGGACAATGTGCAACAGCATCTTGCCCTTGACGGCGACAGAGGCATGGTCGCACCCCTCGCACAGCCCGCCCACCACCGCCCCCGCGACACTGCTAATACGTTCGATGATGTCCTTTCCTTGTTCTCGCGAAAGGCGGGTGCCGGAAAAGGTATTTGTCGCCTCCCTTCCCCAGTGCTCTACAATGGGGTTCCGTACTGCCGCAAGCCCCTTCGCAATTGCCATGTTAATGAACGTCAACAACGCCTGCGCCGTTTTCGGCGCCGTCACCTCCGCGAGAACCCCACCGTACGACCGCAGCTTCAAATGTGGCGACTCCAGCACCACCGGTATAAGATCCTCCTTCAGTGCGGCCAGCTTGAGTGCCGCGCACGCCGCACTTGATCGCATGTGTTCGCTGCGACCAGATGCGGGCGGAAGCGCATAAACAGACAACAACGCCGTCACCACTTCAGGCTTCGCAAAGACGTTAAGGGCTACGCTTTGATCACTCACCGACGCCAAATTCTCAATGGCCTTCACCGCGTAGTGCCGCAATACGTCGTCTGCCTCCCCCAATACGGACAAGTAGAGGTTGAGCGTGGCGGCGGCGTTGAGTCCCCAAACACTTCGATCGCGCTCCCGTTGCACGGCAATGTAAATGAGGAGCTCCCCCAGACACGCCGCAAGTTTACGCTTCACCCGGGGGCTGTCCTCCACGCCGTAGACCTCAATTATGGAGGCGAGAATATTCGCCTTGGCGAGGTCGGCGTGGATGAAGGTGGCGTGACGCACAAGGATACCCATAATTGAGGCGGCCGTGGCGCGGTAGTTCGACGGCGCCTTTCGCTGCGAAACCATCTTAAGGCAAAGCATCATGATGGAGCTATTCACAATGAAATTCGCAACCGGTGCATCCATGCAGACCGTCTCAAAATAGCACAGCACATTTAACTTCTCCTCGTAGCCAAGCGAGGAGGAAGAAAGAGTGCGATAGATCATCTTAATGAAGTCGGATTGCTGCTGTTCATTGGAGTGTTTTAGCTCCGACTTCGTAGGGGGATTGAACCCCAGTGTGCCGGGGTCGTACTTTTGCTCAACAAACCGTTCAATGCGGTTGTTCATCACGAGGGGACGAATGTGGGCGTCGGAGGCGTGCATCATTAACTCCTCCAAGTGCATGTTTTCTAGCTCTTCCACAGCCACAGTGACTCTCGCAAAGTTGCTGGCGTCGATGGCGTCGTTGTTGCCACGCGCGGCGGCGGTAGGGCCATCATTTGCCACATAGCCACTTTCATTATGGGCATCTTCCTTTTCGCGGGCAAACTGGGTGTGTGCGGCGTTGACAGCAACGCCGGTTGACCCAGCCGTCGTCTGTCGTTCGTCGGCCTGAGAATCCATGCGGGAGGCGGCGGCACCGCCCTCGGTCGCTGCGTCATTGGCTGCGCTGTGATCCTGCAAGTCCACTTCCTCCGTTATCGAGGGACACTTTGAGGGGCCCCCTTCACTGGCAAACTGTGCAATGGTGTAGTTTCGCTTGGCATTCTCTACGGCCCACTCTACGTGCCTCTTAACCTCTTCTTCGGACATCGGCCAGCCACCACTTGCACCTGCAGCTGCTCTGCGGTGCTTCCAGTTCTCAAAGGCGGGCTGGGGAGGAAACGCAGTCGTGGGGAGCTGCAGCCTTCCCTGCCAGAAGTCATGTGTCACAAGTTCGCCCCACGTCGAGCGTTGTAGCGGGTCCTTTACCAGAAGCGACTCCAACAAGGTATTGAGTTCCTCCGAGAGAGCCTCGTGGCGGCGAAAGGGCTCCGTCATGACGTTCGCGATGAGGGAGGCAAGGTCCGTGCCGTCAAACGGAGGCCTACCGGTGCCAAACTCATACAATAGGCAGCCCAACGCCCAAAGATCGGAGGCCATAGATGGGACACCCTCCTTTGTAAACAGCTCCGGTGCCATGTAGAGCGGGGTGCCCACAGTTCCCTCGCCACGTACGGCGTTGAAGTCGCACGACAGCCCAAAGTCGTAAAACCGCATTGCCATGGTGGAGTCCATCAGAATATTTGACGGTTTTAGATCGCCGTAAACGACACCACGGGAGTGAATGTACAAGAGGCCCTCCGCGATGTCTGTGCCAAACATCTGCACTGCCCGCCCAGAGAGTCGGCTGCGAAGGTTCAGCACCTGCCGCATGTCCCCACCAGCGCACAACTCCGTGATTACCCACAGGTGATTGTTTGTCTCGTACCAGTTGTGAAACTTGACCATGCGTCGGTGGTCCGCGGAGCGCAGAAAACGCACGTTTGTGAATACGCGTTGCCGCCGGGACTTGTCAATGGACGAGATTGCATGGTACTCGAGAGTTTTTTTCCGACGACCCTTGTACACGCTGCTGAAACGGCCCTTGCCCAACTCGTCGTAAATTTGATAGTTGTTCATGGCTTGCTGGCTCCCCCCCCCCACCTTCCGCCTCCCGCCGGGCCCCGTCTACAGCAGCAAAGGCAGTTTCCTTCTTGCGCCTTGTGCTCCGTTGGGCGAGGCGTTCGTGGAAAGAGCAGGCAGCCTTCCTCTGACACCTCCTTCAACCCTGCATGCGGTCGTGTGTGAGAGAGTAAGGCAGCAATGAGAAGAAAATTTGCACGCCTCGCAAAGGAAAGTGACAGCGCCACGAATTATCCCGGCGGCCGCAAAGAAATCCCCGCCTACACCCACTCTCACACACCCGCAGTTGCACACGTACCGCGGGCGCAGCCGTAAAGGGGAGACAAAGTGATGCAAGACACAAAAGGAGGAAGAAGACGCTGGCAGGGGAACTATGAGCTGGCACCAAAGCACAGCAACAAAGAAAAACAAAAACAAACCAAAAGAACAAGCAGAAAACTCTCTCACTCTCCCTCCACCACCCAATAACGATCGCTCTCTTCCTCTGTGCAGCACCGTCTAGGTAAAACAACGCCGTTTCGCTCGTTCCCCATACAATGTGGCTTTCCACCACGTCTGGAGGCGAAGATAGACCTACGATTTGGCCGCAGCGTCTCCTGGTGCAGGCACCCGCCGCGCCCATCACTGGTACGAGTCGTCGTGGTGGTTTGGTTGTAAATGAGTAAAATTCCCCTCATAATCGTAATATTCTTCTCCTTATACGCACATCGACATAGTTCCGCATCACTGCCTCCGCCCAAATGCTGTGTCACTAGCGGCCCATTCTTCTTCTTCTTCTTCCTCCTTCCTTCCCTCTCTCCTCCTCTTTTTTTATTCACTCCCTTTTTTTTCCTGTTTTTTTTTGGTTGAGTTTCGCTCCTTCCATTCATTCCTTCATCTGCCGCGGTTCTCTTCTATCTTGGTTTTCTTTTGTCTTTCTCTCTCGCCTTTTTGTGTGTGTGTGTGTTGTTCTTGTTGTCTCTTCCATGTGGAGAGGGGTGGATGTGTGGCATCACCGTGTGCGGCCACTCCCCCCCGGTGGCCGCCAAGGAAACATTTACAGACCAGAGGTGTAGAGGCATCGCCTTGCCGCTTTTTTGTTGTTGTTGTTGTTACTGTTTTTGGTTTTTGCCGTGCGCGTTAGTGTCTACCGCGCCAGATCGTACCGCTGCTTCGCGCGTCGCACGACCTGCGTGAGGTAGTGGTAGAAGAAGTCAACGTACAAGACCGTCTGCAGCACCCCGGCGCACACGGACACATAGTTCACGCGGTGAAACGCCAAGTACCGATATATCCAGTGAATCAGGTAGAAAAACCGATACGCCCCCATGGCTGCCAGGTAGTGGGACGTTAGGGCTTCGTAGCGCTCCGTGTACTCCAGCAAAAAGATCTGCGGCAGAATAGCTACGGCCTCCAGGTACTGCGAAAAGGCCCACAAGACGTCCATCACCCACCCCTCACGGGGCTCGCCGTGGAAGAGCAGTGCAAGCACCACGCAGGGAATGATGAGGTAGCGGATGCGGAAGGTGTCATTCTCGTGATCGTAGGTGGCCTTCCACGGGCTCTTGTTGCGCATCAGGTAGCAGATGTGCCACGAGGTCGCCAAGAAGAAGATCTTCATCAGCGTGTTGTACAGCGAGAGAAACGAGGTGAAAAGGTCGAGGTAGCGTGTCGTGAAGACGAGCGCAAAGAGGAACTGCGTCTTGAGCGACACCCCAGCCGCCGACCGCTGCCGCAGCATCTTCCCTAAGAGAATGACGATGGCAAGGAGGTGCAGCAGGTCACCAATCGTGCGCAAGATATTCATCGCTCCTCCCCGCCCAGGTTTGGGTGCGTCGTGCTACTTGAGGCTTCGAAGGAAACAAAGACTCCTCCTTAGAGGGTGAGGGCTCGTCCCGCTAGTCCTTCGCGTGCGGCACACAGCGACGCACATGCGCAACAGGAAAGAAAAAAAAATGTCAAAAGGAAAAAGGAAAAAGGAGAAAGAAGCATAATAATTGGAGCAACGAGGGATTTGCGGTGTTTGTTGTCCTTCGCCCCCCGGCATTGACGTTTCTTCCGTGACTGCGTGGGCCCACCGCCACGGTCCTCGCTATTCCCTCTTCTCACTAATACGCCTACCGTAGCAGATGCATCCGTGCCTGTGTGTGCGTGTGTGTCGGACGGAACGAGCGTCCGCGCCCCCGTCACGCACGCACGCACGCACGCACGCACAGAAACATGGATGCATCTCTTTCGCATGAAAATAAATAACAACAACAGTAATAATAGGAAACACACAACAACACCAAAAGTCGCGAGTGTAATGCGTTGGCAGAGACGCCTCTTCCAAAACTTCTTCCATGGCGAGGAGGAGGCCAGAAAGAAGATTATGTCAAAGTGCACAGATACAATTTAACCTTGCCCTCTGCCCTTCTCGTTTTTTTTGTTACTTCCCAATTTTACTTCCGCAGTGGAGGGGAGAAGGGAAAGACGGAAGAGGGGAGGGGGGGGGGTTCCTCCGCCTCCTTCTCGCCAGCCTCACACACACACGCGCACGCACAGGGTCAGAGTTGCCGGATTGTTACTCCTCTTCCTGCTCACCCCCCCCCCTTTCTTGCCCAGCGCGGAGAGCCAGAGGAACAACCACCACGAGTGGCGACTGGGCAGGAGGCGGGGGCTTATTCCTTCTTTATGTTTCGCGTTGGCACAAGCAAGGGGTTCAGCTGCGCCATGTAGATGAGAACCCACGACAGCCAGCAGCAGAAGGCAGCAGTGAAGCAGAGGACGCGGACAAGCTCCAGCTGGCTCTTCGCCCACAGCGGCGCACTAAGCGCACCAAGGCTCCCTATGGCAACAAAAAACAGCGTCCCAAGGACGATGCCCATTTTCCGTCTCTCCAATGACGCCTGCAAGCGGCTACCACTCAAGAACAAGAACAACTATGTTGTTGTCCGAATAGTCAGTATGATTCAAGGAACTATGCAGGCCTCCCACTACCCACGTTCCTGAGTTACTTTGTTTTTTTTTAAGTATTTGTTTTTATTCTTATTTTGGGTATTGGTTCGGGCGTTGGTTGCTATGGTTATTCCCCCTTTCCCTTACGCGGCGCGTTGAAAAAGGAAGCAAAGATGAAGGATGGCAGCAATCGCAGGAACAATAGCGGGAAAACCAAGCCAAGAAAAGCAACATGGGAAGGAGGGAGAGGTGGCAGCAGTGCTCACTGAGGGGCGGTTAGGACGGGGACGACACAGGCAGCTGTTTCGACCCACAGGAAGTGACATGTGCTCATGCGCACAGCTTCACAGAACTATTTCCCGGGCGGAAGGAGTTCACAGGCCCGCTCCCACCCCTGCGAGGAGGCGCACTCCCGCCACATGCTGGCCGTCCCATTCGCACACGACACAAGCAGAAATGTGCCCACAAACGACCAGGAAAGCTTCGTCACAGCATCCTCCTGCTGCGGCAGCAGCATGCGGTTCCATTCCCCGCGCGCCGCACCGTCCTGCGACCACACCACCACAAACCCTTCGTCAGATCCGGCTGCGATGTACGTAAAAGGCATGCCCACCCCTGGTGCCCACGCCACCTCCCGCCAAGACGCCTCTACCCCTAGTGGAAGCTCTTGTGGCTTCCACTCTTCTCCGCTGCGGGTCCAGACGGTAACGCTTCTATCGCCTCCGCAAGTGACAATGCGTGGCGGGGCGAGCGGCATCCCACCTGGCTGAAGTGCAGCAGCCCCGGTCAACTCGCTCTCCAGTGGCGCCATCAGGAGCATGCCAGGGGGCAGCGAGGGCCCCCAAGACAGGGAGGAGCAGCCATTCGGGTGAGCAGTGAACTCGGTGTGGCTCCACTGCTGGCCTTGCCCAAGGAACGTCACGACGGATCCACTCGCACAGCCAACGGTGAACATTTTCCCGTACTCGGGTGGTGCCCACGCCGCACACCAAGGCACGGACGCAATTGTCGCAAAGTAGACCTTTGCCCATCCCTGCGATTCACCAAAGTCGCTCCAAAGAATTACCTGGGAGTCCTCCCCGCACGAGAGCAGCGTCGACGCGTAGTGCGCGGGTGGTGCCCAAGCCACACACACGACGGTCCCGGTATGACCCTCCAACACAGCTAGGAGATCCCATTTCTCTGCTGACTCGTTATTTAAGGCAAATACGCGAATCACGCCATCTTCACCGCATGATGCAAGCCGCTTCCCGGACGCATCCACCGCGGTATCCGTGATAGGAGCCGAGTGTCCCGTGTCTAATACCGCGTCAGAAACCATTTTAGTAAACCCGTTCGTTATAAAGCCCAACTGGTTCACTATTAATAGTATCTATGTACCCTCCACGTGCGAGCGAGTGAGTGCGAGGAGAGCAAGACGCAAGGCAAGACATGTGTCAAGCAAAGAACACCAATAATGAATTGCCCACAGGAACACTACGACTGTGTCTCTTTGGCACCACAATCAAAAAAAAAAGTTATGTGCTCAAAGGCATTGAAAATACAATAATACGGAAGTGGCTCCACAATGAATCCATACACGCAGACGGATATCCTGGAATAGCTCTCTCTTTCTCTTGCCCTCGCTCTCTCCCATACACAGAGGGACACTAGAGAGAGAAAAAGCCAGGCCCTCGCCCCCGCCTTCATCGCCTATAGAGGCTCAATCACGGCACCACAAGTGAATTCTGCCGTGATCCCATCACGATACTCCACCGCCGCCTCCCCAAGATAACATACTTATGCATGTGCACCCAGCAACGGCCGTATGTCTGTCGGCCCGCCATGTCCACACCCACCAGAGCCACAAAAACAACAAGGGCGGTGATGACAGACCAAAACGACTGGTACGCGGGAGTCAACGTGCCCGCCAAGAGCCACCACATTCCCTTGAGGGCAGCATAGCTCGGAATACACAGCAAGAGTAAAAACAAACCGTAGTGCAAAATCATATAATCGCATGAAAAAGGGACCAGCGCAATATTGTGCTTGCACCGCGAAAACTGCGTCGCATCGTGCCAGTCGGCAAGGTACAGTCGCGTTGCCTTCACACAAATGAGCTTGGGGTGCATCTCAATAAGTGTATTGAGCGCCTGAACAGACAACTCATTCTTCCAATCCCGTGGTGGGTCATCCAAGGAAAAGGCGTCTAACACGTCCACGTTCTTGCATGCCATCAGCACCCGGTGAATTGCTGTGGCATCGTCCCATCCCTCCAGCGTGATTGTGCGCAGCTGCGTGCACCGCTGCAGGTAGGGCACCAGATACAACGCCATTGGCTGACAGAAACGGGAAAGATAAACGTACTCAACACCAGGATTCCAACGAAAGAGGGGTTCGATCAGCTTCGCATCCAACGCATCAAAAGGCTCCGCATTACAGGATGCAGGCACAACAATGCTCCTACATCCCCTCTCGGGGCCAAACACCCAAACCCCACGGGAACGGCTACGGTGAGAAGGCAGGAAGTAAGCCGTGTTCACGATACAGGTGGGCTGCTCTGGGAGACCGAAGAGGGACGGATGTACCGCAGCATAACCGAGAACTGCCTGAATATCAGTTAGGCTCCACCTGTGCAACGGCATAACGCGAAAAAATCCACGGTAAACAGGCAGGTGCGTTGTCAAAAGCTGGCGCTCTGTAAAAGGGTTGAAGAACTTCGGCCGCCATCGCCGTGGTTCCATGGCATCACTGCTCGCTTGAGGAACACAGGTGGGAGAGGGAGGGGAAAAATACACCGGACAAGCAAAAGGCAAGAGTGCCCCGCAATAAATCTCCCCCCGTTGGAGGAACCAGTAGGCGCAAGTCGCAGCAAGGGCAGCTCCACCAACTGTACAAGAAAAACTTTACACGGACACACTGTTTTTTTTTTTGTGCCCCCCGAGGAGCTGCCACAGGCGCACGGGACCGCCATCCCCCCCCCCCCAGCCTGCAGCACGGCAAGGTGAATTCTGGTAATGGGGCGAACGCCTCGTCGGGAACCCAAAGCGGAGCGTCGTGGCACTGCGGCCGTTACAACGACATGTCCGCTTCCTCTCCAAGAGACGGCACAGAAAAAAAAAAGAACACAATAGCGCCGAAATAGTAACAACAACAAGTCTTGAAGACAACAAACCACATTTTGTAAGAAATTTTCACTTGAGGTTTCCCCCGTTTCTGCTGTCTGGTGTGCTCCTCACGGCCCGCGTCACGCCTTCCGAAGGGGTAAAAAATGAGGGGGTGGTCGCAACCCCTCGCCGCCGTGCCTCGAGCTGTGGGCATTGAAACGAATTGCGCAGGACAGTCCCTGCCAGCAGCTCCTCCATCCACGCGGAGAAGGGGGCACGCCTTCAAGCGATGCCCTCCCCCCGGCCGCCGTGCATGCGCATCCTCGGCGAAAAAAGAAGACTTTCCAAAGGAATACGCATCCCCCAATACCGCTGTTAACTCTGAAGCGGCACCGTCAATAAAAGAAAGTGGCAAAAAAAGGAAAATAATAATAATAATAATAAGTTCCAGTAATATCGTTGCTCACATGCATTCTCCATCAGCCTGAATGCTTCAACTTTGCATCACACACACACAGGCAAGAAAACAAGCTCCCTCCCTTCTCCAAATTTAACTGTTGTTTATTGTTTCTTTCACGTTACTGAAAAAGAATAATAGGCTTTACTCGATCCCATCGACATCACTAGAGCCCAAAAGCCTCGTGGGATCAGTATGCTGCGTCGGTGGCGAGTTCCTTGCGTCTGTGGGGAACATCGAATCCCCAGTAGTGCGTTGCCCGCTGCGATCCCCGGGAGCAGGAGCTCCCTGCAGCGACGTGCCACCCGCCGGGATCGCCATCGCCCCCGCTTCCGGCTTCGGTGGGGAACTCGCTTCTTCCTCCCCAAGACTCCCTGTCCCTCGCGTGTAGCATTCTACTTCTTCGTCGTGCTCAAGCAACAGGGTCTCCATCGCCTCGAACTTCTTTCCGTAGATCAACTGGATGGGCGTTTTACCAAACACGTTTCTTGTGGACGCATGCCACCCCCACCTCAACAGTCGCCGGGCCGCCTCGAGTTGGTTGTTAAGGGCAGCAAAGTGCAGGGCGGTGTTGCCCTCATGATTCGGCACGTCCGGCGACGGACCGAACTCCATGAGCAACTCCAAAACCCCAACGTGGCCGTTCGCGGCGGCGAGATGAACCGCAGTGCGGCCCTGCTCGTCTCTTGCATCTACGAGCGAGGGCGTGGCGGCGAGGTACGCCAACAGTTGCCTTGCGTCATCGCCGTCGTTGTAGCGGGCGCAATCCAAAAACGCGTCAGTGAGCGTTTCTGCCGCACGATACTCGTCCTCCTCCAGGGTCGTGGCCGCCGCTGTCGCCGACGCCATTTCCACTCCACCAGAGGAGGGCCCCAGCACAGCACGCACTAGGAGGGCAAACACATGCAAAAGAGGGACAGCGAGAGAGAAAGAGCAGCAGTACCGCGCCACGAGTGGGATGAGGAGGCAGCCACGCTTGTGCGAGACAGGGGAACCGAAAACCAGCATTGAGGGTGGAAAAACAAAACAAAAATCTGGACACACAAGGAAAGAGAAAAGAGAGATAAAAAAGCAAGGACCATTTTTGAGAGACAAACCAAAAAAAAAAAGTAGATCGGGGGTCAGAAAGTGGGACACACACACAGGCACAGAATCCCACGTGTGCACGGAGAAGTCGAGTCAACGTTGCATGGAACCCA